AACGCCACCGTCTTCGCCTACGGACAGACCGGATCTGGCAAGACCTACACCATCGGGGAGGCCAGCGTCGGTGAGTCTCACTGGCACCGGCGTCTCCGTGCCCGCCAGCATCCCTGCTCCACCAGTATCCCTGCTCTGACAGCATCCCTGCTCCACCAGCATCCCTGCTCCACCAGCATCCCTGCTCCATCATCATTCCTGCTCCATCAGCATCCCTGTCCCACCAGCATTCCTGTCCCACCAGCATTCCTGCTCCACCAGCATCCCTGCTCTGACAGCATCCCTGTCCTACCAGCATCCCTGTCCTGCCAATGCCCCTGTCCTGCCAACATCCCTACTCTGACAGCATCCTCACCACCCCCCTGCTCTCCCCACCAGCCCCACATCACCACCTCCTTCCTCCTACATCTCTTTCCATCCCCAGCCAAGCCACCTACACCACTGTCCCAGCCATCTCTCCCAACCCACCAACTCACTGGTGCTGCTGTCCACACCCATTTCAGCGCCTTTGCACTCTCTACCCAAACTCAAACTGTATCATCATCTCCGTCATTTCCATTTTTGCTCCCAAACAACCCTTCCACCCTGCCAGCACCTCCAGCTCAAGCCAACCTCCCCCTGTCATCCTGCCCCCCAGCAGCCTTTCCTTTCCCCCCGCCTGTGTTGCTGTAGCCACCCCCCATGGACACCTTTGAGATCACAGATACTCTTCCACTGCAGGACAAGTGACAGGATCTAGTCTTCCACCAGCTCTGGAGGTGGTGTTGACAGTACTGAAATAAACCTGAAGGAGAGGGAGGTTTGCAAGTGTTTATCCTATTAGTTTTTTTTGTATGAAGGAAATGAGAAAAGAGACAATTTTTTCATTCTAGTTTAATGGCATTGTGATTTCTTACAGATGATGTACTGTAAACATTTCAGTCATCTTTAGTTAATTGCATCATTTGTAAACACTAAATTTTAATCTACGCCTGGTTTCAGTCTCCCAGTTCAGGCTATCATTGCACCAAATTTGGGAATTGCCATTTTACATGGCTGTTGAAGACAAAAGGAAAAATATTTAAAATTCAGACAGTGGAGTGCTGTGGCCAGGTACAAGCAAGCTGGAAGCACTGAAAAAAGAGAAAGGCTTCTCTGAGCTGGGAAAAGTTGTGGAGTCATGCTGGCTTCAAAAGACAGCACACTGTAACTGCAGGCATGGTATTTGATATTTGCTAAAATGCTGAAGGTGCTTTTTCCTTCTTGAGGAAGGACTGGAAACAAGCAGCTTTGCTGGAATCCAGCACAGCAGTGGGACAGGATTTGCCCAGAGGTCTTGTGGGATGTTTAACCCAGGCTGTGAGGGCTGAGCTCCCCAGCTGGGAGAGTTGTGAGGCTGCTCCTTTCCAGCTGACGTGTGTTGCAGGCAGGCTTCTGACCTCAGCTCTGTCCCCAGCCAGCGTGGGCTCCCTGGACGTGCCCTGCTCCCCATGAGCATGTGCCTCTCTTTGCCAGCTTCCATCAATGAAGATGAGCAGGGCATCATCCCACGAGCCATGGCTGAGACCTTCAGGCTCATCGATGAGAATGACCTGATCGACTACACGGTCCGAGTGTCCTACCTGGAAGTGTACAAGGAGGAGTTTCGGGACTTGCTGCAGGTGGATACAGCCAGCAAAGACATCCAGATCCGGGAGGATGACAAAGGGAACGTTGGTATGTGTGGCCATGCACAGGCTCCTTTTCTCCCCATGCTGTAGGCCAGAGCTGGCTTATCTATCCATGAAGGCAGAGCCAGGTCTTCCCCCTCCATCAGTTTGTCTCCTGCAGCAGTTTGCTGTGCTTAATTTTGAAAGCTGGTCTGGGCAAGGCCCAGCACAGGCAGGGTGACAGCACCAGGCTGGGCAGAGGAGCTGCATCCTCAAGCAGCCCGTCCCTCCCAGCCACAGCTGCCTTTGCTTTGCAGTGCTCTGCGGTGTGAAGGAGTCAGAAGTGGAAGGGCTGGACGAAGTGCTGAGCCTGCTGGAGATGGGGAACACAGCCAAGCACACAGGAGCCACCCACATCAACAGGCAGTCGAGCCGCTCGCACACCATCTTCACAGTGACCATGGAGCAGCGGCGCGGGGCTGGCCGGCTGCCCCTGCACCACCGCCCCCCTGCCGTGCCCGCTGCCGGACAGGTCCTGGTGTCCAAGTTCCATTTTGTGGACCTGGCGGGCTCAGAGCGAATTGTGAAGACGGGAAACACAGGGGAGAGGCTGAAGGAGAGTATCCAGATCAACTGTGGCCTCCTGGCCTTGGGAAACGTCATCAGTGCCTTGGGAGATCCTCGGAGAAAGACCACCCACATCCCGTACAGAGACTCCAAAATCACCAGGTACCCCTTGGACTGGGACCCCCCACGTCTCACGGGCTCAGTTTGCAGGTCTGCCCTCTCTGGGTTTTCAGGAGCAGTGAGGCCCGGATGGAAATGCAGGCCTAGCTCATTGCAGTGCTGGAGACAATGAGGCTTGCGTGAGTCGTGCTGCTGAAGCTGAGATGGGGGGTTGCTGTGAGTTATCCTGTCCTTCCTGCCCAGCAGGGAATAAAAAAGTACTCCCAGCAGACTTGTTTAATGGACCACAGTTAGTTCTTAGCTTGAGCTGGTGGCCTTTGCAATCTCCAGAAGGATCCCTGGCAGCACATACCTAGCAGTGATCCCGGAGTCAGGGAGCTCCCAACCTCAGGAGTTATTTGGATGGAGTTTTGCTGTGGCACAAACTGTTAATCCTCTGGTTAATGACTCCATTCACCTCACTAGTGCCAAACCAACTACAGAGCAAGGACATCAATTTCCTTGGGCTTAACCTATGAAAAGGGTTGAAAACCCTTTCTGTTTCCTGTGTTATTTTGTATTCCCGCTGTTCTAATCCCTGTGCTCTTCCTTAGGATCCTGAAAGACTCTCTTGGGGGGAATGCCCAGACTGTGATGATAGCCTGTGTCAGCCCATCGTCCTCTGACTTTGACGAGAGCCTCAACACGCTGAATTACGCCAGCCGGGCTCAGAACATCCAGAACAAGGCGGTGGTGAACTGCCGCAAGGAGACGGAGCACATCGAGGAGCTGCACCTGCAGATTAAGAACCTGCAGAAGGCGCTGGAGCAGCGGCAGCGCTCCGAGACCCGCACCATCCACCGCTCGGCCAGCGCCAAGCGCCAGGTGCCCGACGCCACGGCCCGGCTGCTGGCCGAGTGCGCCCATTACCGCACCTGCACCGACGCCGCGTACCGGCTGCTCACGGAGCTCCAGGAGGACGGCAGCCTGAGCGTGGAGCAGATCCTGCGCGTTAAGGAGTGGCTGTGCGCCGTGGAGAGCGAGAGGAGCGAGCTGACCTCAGCCGGGCTGGACAGCGGCATTGAGAGCGCCTCCATGGAAGACCAGGGACCGGAGGCACAAGGTTCAAAGCTGGCAAAAGCCCAGGTAATAGTGGGGTGTTACAGCTCTGAGGTTGGGTTCGTCTCATGGCCACAGCAACCCCAGCACAGCGTGATGGAAGGGTCAGGAGAGGGAGGAGAGGAGACATAATCTGTCCAGGAGGCCCTAGGGAGGCAGA